GAAAACCCAGCCTTACCCACAGCCCAGGCTCGCTGCAGCAGTTTTCAAACAGAAGGCCGGGGATTTCACAAGAAGGCTATGGTTTAATTGCTCGGGGTTTACAAACATGTTGCAATTTGCCATTATCATAACCACTTGGAAGTGCCAGGAATTTCCTTTGCATGATGATATAACCAGCGAAATGGGAGCTGGTGCATGGACTTAACTTATTCTTGTCTTCATAAGTGCACCCCACTAAAGCAGGACATGAGTTTTTACAGAGCTGTATTTTGATGTGGTTCCTGCACTTGAGAGGCAGCATTGTTGGGTTTTTGTTTGTTTGTTTTTAATTTAGTCAAACCATGTTCTCAGGACCCAGTAAGTCCCAGGCACTGATGATTAAAAATAACAAGAAAAACACTAACCCTGTCCCACAGGCACTCACAAGTCGTAGAATATTTGTAAACTCATTTTCTCTTAATCCTACACCTATTTACATACAGTTATTAGTATGCATCACTCTTGTCAACCTCAAACATTTTCATGCCAAACATTAGAATATATTTCTGTAAATAAACATGCTGTTACCAGTTACAGAAAAGCAGCTATGGAATGATACTGAACAGTGTGGCAGTGAATCAATTTGTTTTTATTTTTGCATCTTACCCATTGCACTGGGCTGGAGTGATAGCACAGCGGGTAGGGCGTTCGCCTTACACGCGGCCAACAAGGCCGACCCGAGTTCGATTCCCCGCCCCTCTCGGAGAGCCCGGCAAGCTACCGAGAGTATTCGATATGCCAGACACAGTAACAACAAAGTCTCCAATGGAGACGTTACTGGGCCCGCTCGAGCAAATCGACGATCAACGGGAGGGCCTTTACCCCTTTTACCCCTTTACCCATTGTACTGGGCTGGAATGATAGCACAGCGGGTAGGGCGTTTGTCTTGCACGTGGTCGACCCAGGTTCAGTTCCTCTGGCCCTAGAGAGCCCGGCAAACTACCTGTTATCCCCCCTCCTTCTCTCCCTGCCTCCTTCAGGGTATTATGATTTGCAATACAGGTACTGACAGGTTATCATGTTTGTCCTTTTACCTAATTTCAGCATGCAATTCTTATCCAGAATGCCACAGTGGTCCCTTCTGCCTTCTCCCCCCAGCATCTAATATAGGCTTCCAACCATGGAACAGTCCTCCTTCCTGGTCCTTGTTTCTAAAATCCTTGGATATTGGTCTCATATATATATATTTTTCATATGCCACAAATGAGTCCAATCATCCTACGTCCATCCCTCTCCTGACTCCTTTCAAGATTTCAAGGAGTGAATTAATTTACAGTGTCCCAAAGAAATCGAAGAACCATCCTGGACTGACTGAGACTGAGGTTTCTAGGGTTGTTTTTTTTTTTTTCTTTCTTTCTTTTTTCTTTTTGCTTTTTGGATTTTTAGGCAACACCTGGCACTGCTCGGGGATTACTCCTGGCTCTGCACTTAGGTATTACTCCTGGTGGTACTCCAGGGGACCATATATGTGGGATGCTGGGGATTGGACACAGGTTGGATACATGCAAGGCCAGCACCCTACCTGCTCTATGTACTATGGCTCCAGCCCCTGAAAAAAAATCTGTTTCTTAAGCAACACCCCTTCCTGGGTTAGAAATAGCAAAATGCCCTGTGGCAAATGCCCAGCATCATTCAAAACACAGAAAGTGTATTCATTCTCCTAAAAGAAATGTTTGAAACTAACAGACTTTGAAGTTTGTTTACAGTTATGACTGGATGAGAAATTCCCCTCCGAACTTCTATTCCTCTCCTAAGTTTCAGTAGTGGAAGAATCTGTTACATCGCATGTCCCTAAAATCCTGCACACTCGCTTACACACACACACACACACACACACACACACACACGTAGCTCAGTGGTACAGAGCAGCGTGCAGGCCTTGCGTGAGGCCCAGGGTTTGATTCCTGGCCTGTGAAGCATTCTGACGTAAGAACATTTTTATTAAGTGGATCTGGGCTAGTTAAGCATCAAGTACAGGGCATGAAGGTGAGAGGAACAGTCGTCACTAACAAATGCATATGGCACTGGTCAAATCATTTCACAGGTCTAGGCTGATTGCAAAATATTTTAAATACAAAATAAGGGAAATGTGTGTTTCATTTCGGTCAGAGCAGAGAAACATGACCATCTTCCCTTGGTGGGCCACCCGACCCGGCAAGGCTCAGGGTTCATAGCTGGTAGTGCAGGGATTTGAACCACCCTAGCCGGAACAGCTACATTACAAGACCAGCAGCGTTTTTACCTCTGTGCTATCTAACCTCTATACTCTTTCTTCTGGCCCCTCAGTCTTGATGTTTCCTCAAAGATACTTTTTTTTTTTTCAGCTTTTTTTAGGTCACACCCGGCGATGCACAAGGGTTACTCCTGGCTCAGGCACTCAGGAATTACTCCTGGCGGTGCTCAGGGAACCATATGAGATGCTGGGAATCAAACCCAGGTGGGTAGTGTGCAAGGCAAACGCCCTACCCGTTGTGCTATCGCTCCAGCCCCCAAAGATACCATTTCTGACAAGCACTGGGTGAGAGCTTTCTAACAGCAGCAGAAAGCAAGGAGCCTGGCTCCTAATCTGGTGATTTTCCAATGCACACAGAACAAAGGCGAGGTAAGCCCTGTCTTCCTCCGGATTTCACCAAGGATCGTTCCTGATATCCTACTCTTAATTCCAAGAAAAATTAAAAGATGGGGAACTAAGAGTGGATAGAACTTGTGCAAGGCAATCCTTCAAGTCTTTCCAGTCTCGCATGGAAATATTAGCTTTGTAAGAAAAATACCTATTTTCTTTACTCCTGCATCTGCCCTTTGAATAACAGGTTTGCATGTCTGGAGCCTCACCCCTTCGTGCAACTCCGCCAAAGCACTCTGCAGCAACTGACCCAGCCATACTGGAATCTGCTAAGGAAGGGAAAAGCAAAGTCTCCGGTCATGCCACCTGCCAACACTCGCCTCCAAAACAAGCCCGGTGCCCCTCCGTCTCCAGCCCATGCCCCGGGGAAGGATGCCATGTGATGTTGTCAACCCCATTTTCTCAGTGACTGAAAAATCACAGAGTGAGATCTAAGCAAGAAATAACACCATCAACTTCCTGCTCGGGCAAAGTTAAACAGTCTGCAGGCACAACTTCCAAATGTTCTGGAATTTCACTGAAAGGGACTCATCGTCTGAGTACAGCTCATGAAAGGCAAACACGTGGGGGAGGGGCAGTGGGGTTAATGAAATATCTGTGACTTCACGACTGTGTAAATAAATCTATATGCTGTTATAATACTACTTTTTTTTTTTTTTGCTTTTTGAGTCACACCCAGCGAATGCATAGGGGTTACTCCTGGCTCTGCACTCAGGAATTACTCCTGGAAGTGCTCAGGGGACCATATGGGATGCTGGGAATTGAACCCGGGTCGGCCGCGTGCAAGGCAAACGCCCTACCCGCTGTGCTATCGCTCCAGCCCCTTAAGATTAAAGAGGAAGGACTGTACAGCAGGTAGGGCATTTGCATTGTCCATGACCCATCCGAGTTCCACCCCATACAGTCTCGGACCCCAGCCAGGAGTGATCTGAGTGCAAAGCCAGAACTAAGCCCTGAGCACTGCCAGATGTGGCCCAAAAACAACAGCAACAACAACAACAACAAAAAATCGGAGAGTGCGCAGAACAAATAGAAATCTTCTGACACCCATGGGAGTGACCAAAAATAAATGACACCTGAAAACTGAAAAACTTTCCAACTTCCACTTGGAAGTTTGGAAAGATGAGTCAAGGCTGCTTGTAGAAAAAAACAAAGAGCAGACTCTCCATTTATTGAGCACCTATTACAAGCCAGTTACATATACATCATTTTAGCTGGACCTCTGAGAATCAGTGTCATCTCCCGAGTCACGGTCAGTGAGAGCTGGGAAGTGACCAGAACTCAGTCCAAAGCCCAATAAGCTGATTTATTTTGCGTTAGGAAAAAAAAAGGGGGGGGGGGCGGGAGTAGGGGAGGGAATTGCATTCTTCAACACTTCCCAAAAAGAAGTTTCTTTTGAAATAATGCATGTCCTATTAGGAAAGTCAAATGTCCCTTGCTGGAATTCTGGAGTCCTCTCTCCAAGGAGTTCCCAACAAGTGCCAATCCCAGACCTTTAAGCAAAAATGGACATTTTATGGGTGGATTAAGATGCCTGCCTAGAATAAACCCCCCGGCCATCTGATTCCCGTCTACCTGCCAAACCTTCGGCTCCACCAAATCAAACCGAATCCTGCCCCCAAGGCACTGGAACCCACTGCGCTCCATCCTCCTCGCTCAAGAACTTGGTTCAGAAACGGTGCCAACTCCACGGGGCGGGTTGAAAACGTGAGTGGCCCTTTCCAAACACATGACAGCACAGATTTCACAGAATCGGCCCTATTGTTCCCCGTCCCAAACATAGGACAACAAACAGCCTGTAAACCTACAAATGCAAAACCGGCCAACTGAGTCCAGACAACCAACTTGGGGGTATTTCCGGTTACGGGGAACCTGCGCGTTTTTCCCTCTCCCCGCCCGAGCACCAAACGGAGAAGCCACCAACGTCTTCTCAAATCCAACAGCGGCGACAGGGACCTCGGCCAACCCCTGTTTATTTACATCGACGCTTGGAAGGGACTTCGTTAGCCTTGCCCCCGCCCCCCCCCCCACGCCGATTTCTCAGCAGGTGTCCCGGCTAAAACAAGTCCAGATTTCACACCTGATTGTTTGAATCTAATACAATGTAAAACAATGTAATACAATGTATATACTATATCTTGGACCAGACCTGTGGCTTACTACTTATTAATCAGAGTTAGAAATCCTACAACACGTGTCCTGAACACACACACACACACACACACACACACACACACACACACACACACCCCACCCCAAGAACCCGGCGACCCCCAGGGCCGAGCGGCAGAACGAGTCGGCGTGCGCCCCGCGCGCCCGCAGCGTGCAGGTAACTCACCAGGATGCCCATCACGTCGGTCCAGAGCCGGGAAAAGCCCTCGGACATGCCAGTGGCCGTCTCGGGCTCCTCGGCCACGGGCTGGGGCTCGGGCTCCGCTTCGGGCCCCGGGCCAGCCGCTCCCGCGTCCTCTTCCATGGCCGATCCCGGCGCGGGCCGTGCGTCCGGCTCCCCGCGGCGCCCCGGTGCCCGCAGGAGCGCGCGCGCCCGGCCCCCCGGCCCCGGTCCCCGCCCGCCGCGTCAGCGAGCCGCGCCCCCGCGCCGCATCCCCCACCCCTGCCGCTGCCGGCGCTCGCGGCTCCGAGGCTCTTAGGTGACTGTGCGAACTGACAACTCCAGAAACTTTTGCCCGGTCCGGCCCGGCCCGGCACGGCTGCGTCCGGGCCTTTCTGGAGTGGGGGGAGAAGGCAGAGTTCGCACCACCCGGCTTGACGGCGGGGAACGCTGGCCGCCGAGTCTCCGACAAACACACTGCCAAGGCGTTCCTCCCCGGGACGGGAACCAACTCACGCAGGCACGCGACTCTTTTTTTTTTCTTTTTGCTCCTGGCAAGTCTGGGCAGGGCCAAGCGGGCGTGACCGCGGTGCCTCGGAAACCGCCAAGGCCCTCCCCGGACCCCCTTTCTTGCAAAATGAGCTCTTCCAGCTGCCCCGGACTCCCTCCCCTCGATGCTACAGAAAGCGTTTAGCAACAAAAGGTGCTCTGATGTCAGGCGCTTTGCATGGAAATGAGCCCCAGACAGGAGAACAAATCGCCTGTTGAAAGAGCAGCCGCGCCGTAGCCTCCCGCCCGCGCAAGTTTCCAATCTTCGAGACGCACTTGGGCACCGCCAGCCCCAGAAAGTTAATCTTTAAGCGACTCCTGCCCCCGGGGAGGGCCGAGGTCGGTCGGTCCTGCAGGGCGCGCTCACCTCGGCCCCCGGGGAGCCGGGCGATCGCAGGAAATCTTGCTTGGTCTCCCGTCGGCCTGGACGCGGGGGCGGGGCGGGGGAGACCTGAGGGTGGGTGACCAAGTGACCAGGGCTGTACTCCCGCTTTTGTGTGTCCGGGAGGCCGGACATCTGGGTTTCTGGGTGCCCGCAGCGCTGGGCATTGCTTAGAAGTTTCAGCTAATTGGGAAAATGTGCTCTGGGATTTTCTGCTTGTGTTTTATTTTGTTTTTATTTTGCATGAAGGACGGTGGGCAATTTCATTTTCAGAACTCAGGATGGGGTGGTAGCCATCTCTCCCAGGCGCACGGCTGGGGGGTTTGGGGCAGGGAGGGTTTTATTTTTCTTTTTTTCTTTTTTTGTTTTTGTTTATTTGGTTTTTTTAGGCTATACCTGGTGAAGCTCAGGGGTTACTTCTGGCTGCCTTCAGAGATCACTCCTGACGGTGCTCGGTGCTCGGAGAGACCCTAATGGGATGCCTGAGATTGAACCTGGGTCGGCCGCGTGCAGAGCAAGTGGCTGACCAGCTGTGTCATCTCTCCAAGCCCGTGATGTGTATTTTTCAAGGGCAAGAACCTTGACGGATCTTGTTTGGGGAGGGAAATAGTCCTGAAGAGGTTTTCTCTTTTTTGTGAGTCTTTAAGAAAACCACTCAGAGTGTGCCCTGGGATGCAGTGATTGGTCACAGGGTAAGGAGACCTCAGAGAATTTGCGCTGGTGTTCCAGGGCTGAGGGAAATCAGGTGAGCTGTCCCCCGGAGAAACTGCTCTGTTTTAGCGGCCTCTTTTGTTGTTTTTTGCCTTTGGAACCCACATGAAAAAAGAATAGGAGCGATAGATGTAATCTCCCTAATTCATTTCTGGGAGCACCTACCAAGGGAAATAGACTCCAGAGGAAAAGTTCAAACTTAAACACAAACAAACAAAAAAGACATCTTTCCTGGGCCAGGATAGTAACAGTAGATAGAACTCCAGCCTTGGCATGCAACTGACCTGGGTTGATCCCAGAAGCCCATATAGTCCCCTAAAGCCCACCAGGTATGACCCCTGAGTTCAGAGCTAGGAGCAAACTCAGCACAGCTGGGTGTGACCCCAAAACCGAAAAACACCTTTTCAAAAGAAATTAAAGGTAGAAGCATGATTCCTGATGACAGTATTTCTAGAAGTAGAGAAAATGCACAATTAAGAGAAAGAAGGCAAGCAAGCAAACAAGAAAGAAAAAAAGGAAAGAAAGAAAGAAAGAAAGAAAGAAAGAAAGAAAGAGAAAATGCACAAATTTTCCTCACTAGTAAAGTGGCATTATGTTGCCTGGGAAGCGTATTAGAAAGTGAATTCATGTGGGCAAGCCTGGTACTTAGCTGGTGCTGCTGGATTAGGCCAGAGGCTGTTCTAAGATACAGGGAATCCCACAGCAACTCAGGCCAATCAATGGTAGGTTGTTTATCATCATTGTTATTATTATTAGTTATGACTATAACTATAATATTAGCTTTGGATATAAACACTGAGCGCTGCAGGATGTGGCTCAGAAACAGCAAAACAAAAAAAATATGGGTCTGGGAACTGACTCAAAGGGCTAGAGCACATGCTTTGCACATGGGAGACCCCCCTCCACCTTCTCTGGCAGCACATGGTCCCAGCTCTGTTAGTAGTGACCCCCTGGCAACACGGGGTAGACCCGAAACTAACAATAAAAAGAACTATGCTGATTCTTATATGAGAGTATCCCGCCCGCACAGCAGAGTCTGGCAAGCTACACGTGGCGTACTCAATAAGCCAAAAATAGTAGCAATGATGGTCCTCATTCCCCTGACCCTGAAAGAGCCCCCAATATGCCATAGGGCTACACTAGCACGTAACAGGGACGAATGGAGGCGTTACTGGCACCCACTCGAGCAAATCGATGAACAATGGCGTGATAGTGATAGTAATAGTGATGCTGATTCTATGGGGCAACTTGTTCTCTACATAAACATCTTTCTTTCTTTCTTTCTTTCTTTCTTTCTTTCTTTCTTTCTTTCTTTCTTCTGACCTCACCCAGCAGTGCTCAGAGCTTACTCCTGGCTCTGTGCTCAAAGATCACCCCTAGTGGTACTTGGGGTGTGGTATATGATGCCAGGGATCAAACCCAGATTGACTTTAGCAAGGCAAAAGTCACCTTACCCACTGCATCATTTCTCTGGCCCTGCATAAATACTTTCTAGTAAGTGAGTGAATGCTAAGTCTAGAAATAGGACAGTGAGGTCTAGGTGAGGGGCCCCAACTCCTGATGCCGATCATAATTTTTATGATTGACTCACCAGAGAAGCTAGAGACAAAGCATTGGCCCTGATGGCAGTTTCCCTAGCCAGGAGGAGGCAAAGCCACACTAATTGCCACCCACCTCCTCTAAGGTTTTCAGGTCAGCAGAAGAGAGGTAAGGATACATACACATATATCACTGTCATTAAACCTTGCCAGCATTTTGGCATTTATAAAAATTGGTCTTCCCTAGACATTCAAACTCCCTTTTCTTGGTGCTCCTTATACGGGAACAGAGAAATGAGATGAAAAATATACTTATTCCAGACACGCAGATGCTTTTGGTTGTGTTTTCTTTATGGAAGTAGAAAATATTTAAGCATACTACTTGTAGAATTTAAATAATCTTGTGGACTGGTTTATAAATGAAATTGAACATCTTGTTGGGGGAGGGGAGTATTTGTTTAGTTTTTAGGTTACACTGCAGTGCTCAGCACTTCCTCATGTACCTGCACTCCTGGCAGTGCTCAGGGGACATGTGGGGTGCTGGGGATCAAACCTGGGTCAGTCATATGCAAGGAAAACACCCTACCCGCTGGACTGTCACTCCAGCCCTAAAACTGAACATCTTTACTGTCAACTTCATAATGGATGCATTTACTCAAAGTGCGCTGATGACCTCTCCTAAATGTAAGTCATTTCTCCAATCATTAATATCCATTGTTATTTCCAAACTTTTTTTTCTTTTTTTTTGCTTTTTGGGTCCCACCCGGCAATGCACAGAGGTTACTCCTGGCTCTGCACTCAGGAATTATTCCTGCCAGTGCTCAGAGGACCATATGGGATGCCGGGGATTGAACCCGGGTCTGCCGCATGCAAGGCCAATGCCCTACTCACTGTGTATTGCTCCAGCCACCTATTTCCAAACTTTTCTCAGGGGCTTTTTGTTTTGCCCGGTTTGGGGACCATAGCCAGTGACGCTCCGGGCTCTGTGCTCAGGGGTCGATCCGGGCAGTGTGTTTGGTGCTAAGATGGGAACCAGAACTTTTGCATGCAAAGCACGTTCTCAGCCTGCTAAGTCATCTCTTTTAAACTCTTCCTCAGATTTTAAACAAAATACAAATGAATAATAATCATCACCATCGTCGCCCTCATCATATTTCAGAGGCCCAATAGCAAAAAGCTTTTTCTTTGGGGGGCTTTACCCAGTGGTTCACTCCTGGCTCTGCACTCTGGGATCACTCCTGGGGGGTCTGGGGGACCGTATGTGGTGCCGGGGATCAAACCCAGGTCAGCCAACTACAAAACAAACACCCTACCCACTCTACTATCTCTCCAGCCCCCAAACTAAGAACTTTATTTAGTTTTATTATGTTTTGGGTTTGGGACCAGACCTGGCAGTACTCAGGGCTGGTTCCTGGGATCTCTGTGCTCAGGAGACACTCCTGGTGACCTTGGTGGGCCATAGAAGGTGCCAGAGATTGATGCCAGGTCAGCTGTGTGTGTGAACAAGACCCCTCAACCGCTGTACTATATCTCCTACCTTCTACAAAGAACATTTTTAATGTTTTTTTATTCTTTTTGGGTCACACCTGGCGATGCACAGGTGTTAGTCCTGACCTTGCACTCAGAAATTACTCCTGGCGGTGCTCAGGGGACCATATGGGATTCTGGGAATTGAACCCGGGTCGGCCGCGTGCAAGGCAAACGCCCTGCCCGCTGAGCTATCACTCCAGCCTCTACAAAGAACTTTTTTATAACAGAAATTTATCCTGAGAATAGGAAAGGGCCTGGGAAGTAATTTGGGATTGCCTTTATTTTACAGGCGAGGAAATCATTCCCAAGAACTTGAATGATCAGTCTTAGGGAGCTCCCCTCCTTGGGACAGGAACAAAGTCAGATGATTTGATTACTTTGAGAGTTTTTTCACATCTTTTGGTGAGGCTCTAACAGGTAGTTAACTGTAGGCAGCTGGAGCTGCCCCTCACAGACCCTTCTCTTCCCTTCTTCCTTTCCACTGGGCTCCCCTCTAGTGCATTCAAACTGTTAGAAGTACAACTTCTTTTTCTGTTGCTTTTTGTTT